TGTATGTATGTAATGTATGTATGTATGTATGTATGTATGTATGTATGTATGTAATGTATGTATGTATGTATGTATGTATGTATGCATGTATGTATGTATGTATGTATGTATGTATGTATGTATGTATGTATGTATGTATGTATGTATGTATGTATGTATGTATGTATGTATGTATGTATGTATGTATGTATGTATGTATGTATGTATGTATGTATGTATGTATGTATGTATGTATGTATGTATGTATGTATGTATGTATGTGTATGTATGTATGTATGTATGTATGTATGTATGTATGTATGTATGTATGTATGTATGTATGTATGTATGTATGTATGTATGTATGTATGTATGTATGTATGTATGTAATGTATGTATGTATGTATGTAATGTATGTATGTATGTATGTATGTATGTATGTATGTATGTATGTATGTATGTATGTATGTATGTATGTATGTATGTATGTATGTATGTATGTATGTATGTATGTATGTATGTATGTATGTATGTATGTATGTATGTATGTATGTATGTATGTATGTATGTATGTATGTATGTATGTAATGTATGTATGTATGTATGTATGTATGTATGTATGTATGTATGTATGTATGTATGTATGTATGTATGTATGTATGTATGTAATGTATGTATGTATGTATGTATGTATGTATGTATGTATGTATGTATGTATGTATGTATGTATGTATGTATGTATGTATGTATGTATGTATGTATGTATGTATGTATGTATGTATGTATGTATGTATGTATGTATGTATGTATGTATGTATGTATGTATGTATGTATGTATGTATGTATGTATGTATGTAATGTAATGTATGTAATGTAATGTATGTATGTATGTATGTATGTATGTATGTATGTATGTATGTATGTATGTATGTATGTATGTATGTATGTATGTATGTATGTATGTATGTATGTATGTATGTATGTATGTATGTATGTATGTATGTATGTATGTATGTATGTATGTATGTATGTATGTATGTATGTATGTATGTATGTATGTATGTAATGTATGTATGTATGTATGTATGTATGTATGTATGTATGTATGTATGTATGTATGTATGTATGTATGTATGTATGTATGTATGTATGTATGTATGTATGTATGTATGTATGTATGTATGTATGTATGTATGTATGTATGTATGTATGTATGTATGTATGTATGTATGTATGTATGTATGTATGTATGTAATGTATGTATGTATGTATGTATGTATGTATGTATGTATGTATGTAATGTATGTAATGTATGTATGTATGTATGTAATGTATGTAATGTATGTATGTATGTATGTATGTATGTATGTATGTATGTATGTATGTATGTATGTATGTATGTATGTATGTATGTATGTATGTATGTAATGTATGTATGTATGTATGTAATGTAATGTAATGTAATGTAATGTAATGTAATGTATGTAATGTATGTGTATGTATGTATGTATGTATGCAATGTATGTATGTATGTATGTATGTATGTATGTATGTATGTATGTATGTATGTATGTATGTATGTATGTATGTATGTATGTATGTATGTATGTATGTATGTATGTATGTATGTATGTATGTATGTATGTATGTATGTATGTATGTATGTATGTATGTATGTATGTATGTATGTTATGTATGTAATGTAATGTAATGTAATGTAAGGTAAGGTAATGTAATGTAAGGTAATGTAGTGTAATGTAATGTGATGTAATGTAATGTAATGTAATGTAATGTTGGTGTGTAATGTATGCATGTATGTAGTGCATGTATGTATGTACGTATGTATGTATGTGTGTATGTATGTAGTGTAATGTAATGTAATGTAATGTAATGTAATGTAATGTAATGTAATGTAATGTAATGTATGTATGTATGTAATGTATGCAATGTATGTATGTATGTATGTAAAAATGTATGTATGTGTGTAAAAATGTATGTATGTATGTATGCAATGCAATGCAATGCAATGTAATGCAATGCAATGCAATGCAATGCAATGCAATGCAATGCAATGCAATGCATGTATGCATGTAATGTAATGTATGTATGTATGTATGTAATGTATGTATGTATGTATGTATGTATGTATGTATGTATGCTATGTATGGTCTGTATGTGTGTATGTACGTACTGTATGCATGTAGGAGGCGCATGGGAAGGGTTTGTATTCGTCCTTGTCTTCGTGATGTTTATCACCACTGATGTTGGGTGACGGGTTCGCAGCATCTGGATCATCAGCATTCTACGTTTCAAGCTTGCTGTTAAACCCGGCTTGGAATGCAGTGATGCATTTTAGTCGTGATTGTTATGACAGCTGCTGCTCATGTCACGGTAACTGCTGGTGATGCTGGAGATGCGTAGTGACGATCATCAGGATCATCATGATCATCATAAGCGATGCTGCATCTGACCATCATCATCACTCTTCTCATCATCATCATGATGGTCATCATCGTCTCTTTCTTGTTCTTACATACATTTCAACAGGGACGTTAGACAGCATTGGCGATGCAGAGGATGCTACGATGATAGTTATCCACTGTCAGGACTTGAGAAGAGTGGTCATCATCATCATCATCATCGCTCTTCTCATCATCATCATGATGATCATCATCATCTTTCTTGTTCTTATTTACATTTCGAAAGGGACGTTAGACAGCATTGGCGATGCAGAGGATGCTACGATGGTAGTTATCATCACTGTCAGGACTGTGATGATTATCATCGTAGCATCCTCGGCATCACCAGTGCCGGCAAATAAGAGATGATGATGACCATGATGATAATGATGATAATGGTGAGGGCTGTGATGATAACTATCATCGTAGCATCCTCTGCATTGCCAATGCTGTCTAACGTTACTTTTGAAATGCAAAAAAAAGAAGAAGACCGGCATCATCGTGATCATGATTGTCATCATCATCTCTTTCTTCTTTGCATTTCAAGCTTGAGCAAATCCTTCAATGAAATCATATCAAACTCATATGAAAAACACATACTTTTGACCAGGGTCCCAGCCTGAGGAGAGGATGCTACGCTGATAGTTATCATCACAGTCCTCATCCTTATCATCATTATGATCATGGTCATCATCCTCTCCTATTAGCCGGCAGCAGTGAAGCCGAGGAATCATCACGGTCATCATCATCTCTCATTAGGCAGCACTGGTGATGCAAAGGATGCTACGATGATAGTTATCATCACAGTCATCATCATGATCTTCCTCGTCATCATCATGATGCTGGTCGTCGTCATCATCATCACTCTTCTCATCATCATCATGATGGTCATCAGCATCTCTTTCTTATATGCAAAAGATGACCACTCTTCTCATCATCATCATGATGGTCATCATCATGGTGATGACTATGATGATTCTGCATCTCAAATCGGCTGAGCACCGTGATGATGATGACTCTTATGATAACTATCATCGCAGCATCCCCTGCATTACCAAAGCTGCGGATGACTGTCATGATAACTATCATCGTAGCATCCTCTGCATTACCAAGGGTGCCTAATGCCACATTTGAAATGTATAGAAGAAAGAGATGATGATGACAATCATGATGACGATGATGCCGGTGATGACTATGATGATTCTGCATCTCACATCGGCTGAGCACCGTGATGATGATGACCATCATGAAGATGAAGGAGGATGATGACCATCATGATGATGATGATAAGGGTGATGATCAGGATGATGACTCTCATGATAACTATCATTGTAGCACCCTCTACAGTACCAAAGCTGCCCATGACTGTCATCGTAACTATCATCGCAGCAGCCTCTGCATTACCAATGCTGCAGAATCAGAGATCATGATGATCATACGGATAATGATGATAAGGATGACGACTGTCATGATAAGTATTGATGATGATGCTGATGAGGATGAATCTTCGGTTATGCTCATGCGCCAGCCACCCTTCCCGTGCGCCTCCCCTCTTTAGCGAGGGGTCGGCGGAGTTTGGCCCCGTTGGCTTTTGTTTAAGCCATCCAAAAGCTGCAAGGGGGCCTTTCCTCGGTTCATGGATGGTTTTGTCACTTTTTCCTGGGTTCATGGAAAGAGGTTCAAACTTCTTCCTCGGTGCATGAAGGTCGAAGCTGGGGCCTTGCTAGCGCCGTGTTGGTGTCTTATTTATGGGACACGGGCTTATCAAACACCTGGCTGTTCGGCGCTGGGTTTGAGTGGGTTTTACTTTCATTGTCGTTTGCTCGCTTCTTAAGTTGCCGGACTTTGGTCACGATTTTCGGAGACCGTTTTGTTGGAAACAAGCTCGGCCTTTTTGGCCAATCCACTCAGAAATGACTCTTCAAATACCTTCCTAGCAAAACTATGCTCAGGTCTACCTTGTAGAACATTGGGCGCTGCTCAAGTGATGATGGTGGGATTGTGATTGGTAAGAACCTTATCCCGTGCAAAGGATCCCGTGTTTGAAATTTCCCGCGGAACCCACCAGGGGTTGACTTTCTTTTAAACTTCCCCCAAACCTCGCTCCGCAGGGTGCTACTTAAAGCCCTTGACTCGCTCCCGAAGTCAGGCTCTGAGAGGCTGCATTTCTTAGATCGATTTGTGAGAGGAATTTCGACCCCTGGAGATCTCCATTTTTCCTATGGGGAAGACTAGATAAATGGATTTGGGCATCCCCCACCTTTCCTCTTAAGATCGTGTGACATGTCTAATAGTTGTACTTGTCCGTCCTACTCCGACGCAGAGATGCAATAGATCAGCTTGCCCAAACTGGAGACACCCCGTTTGGACCTGATTGGAAGGCAAGCTGAGGTTGTCAGCCAGGCGTTCGAAACACGCAAGATCCGAAGATGCCAACCAGTTGGCAGAGGTCTGCGACGTTCCCCTAGCAAGCTTGCCAAGAGAACATGTTTGATCGTTGGGGCAGATCAAGTCTGGAACCGATGCAACGCATATGGTTTTCTGTGTCCCCCTTGCCAAGATATGAGGGTCTGATGATTGATCAGACATATTTTCTGTGATCCCGACTCGATTTGGTTTTGCAGCTACTTGGGTGTCAAGCCAAGTTGGTTGTTGGTAACCTTAGGCTACTTCCCACTTAGAAGTCCCCGTGAATGTGGGGTTACTCCTGTGACCTGTGGGTGTTCTTACCCAAGTGCCAAGTGGCTATCGACTTACTAAGCTGGCAACAAACATCCAAGTAAAGGCAAAATGGGTGTGTCTTGTTTGGAGGATACCCCTTTTACTTGTGTTTTTACAGGGAAACCAAAAAGGAACGCTACTTCTTGTTCTTCTTCTTCTTCTTTTTGGTAAGGAAGGGCGGGTCCCCTAACAAAGGACACACCCAAATAGCACCTCCAAGTACTCAGCAGACGTCAGATCGAACTTGCCCAGGCGCCGAGGGAGCCCGCGCGGCTCGAGCCGCCGCCGCAAAAGGCGATGCCGGAGATGGTGGAGACAGAAGGACGAAGCGCGTTGAAAGCGAGCGCAGAGAGAGAGACAGAGAGAGCAGGATATGGGTTTTTTGGTGGCTCCCAGTCATCCGGTTCCTTAGCTTTTTAGCCTTTTAGTGTTTAGCGGTAGTTTCCGAATTTGGCCCACTGAAAGTTAGTCACTGTTCGCGGGGGATCTGAAAACGGGCAGCCCAGATTTGTTTTACTTTTCCGGTACCTTTCTGGGGCTTGGTTCCAAACCAAGAGGAAACCCAGCACTTTGAGGGTTCCGAAATATTCAGACAGACTCACTTACTCCCTGAGTTCCGTTCCTGGACTTTACTACAATTGTTTTTGGATGGACCACGTTAGTGTTCAACATTAGAAGGTTGAACTTTCTCTGACCAATCCACTCCGGTGAGTAAAGTGAAAACAACTAAGATCATCTAGTTATCAACCTATAAAGCTTTGAATAAATTACGTTAATGCTTTTTGGGATGCTTGGACTTGTGTTTTTTTTTTTTTTTTTCGCGCAGCACCCATGGGTCACCCAAACAGAAAAGTCTGTCTGTAGCCAGGCTTCGAGCGACTCCTTTGGGTGTGAGCCCAAAAAGCGCGAAAAGTGTCTAGGCAACCAGGCAGGTTAGTACCAGGAGCCTCCATGACCCTTTAAGAATGGGTCCATGACCCCCAATTTGTTGGGGTAATGACCCCATTTTTTAAGGGTGATGGAGACTCCAGGTAGTTGTTCTTTGTTTCTTTTTTTTTTTTGGGGGGGGGGGGGAGTGCTGGTGTCTATGTTTGGGCCGGGTTCTGTCGTTTTACGAGGGTATTTCTGCTTGGGTCGCTATAGATGTCTGTATGATATGTTCCCTTTTGTCTAGGCAAGTTTCCGGTTTGGGTGTTTTGGGGGGGGGTTAGCTTGGACATGAGACATCCTTCTAGGGGACACTTCCCCATTCTTTCCAGGGATCCTTCTTTCCAGAAGAACATCAGAACCCCAGCCAAAACAGCTGTTTTTTCAATAGAACCATGGTTGAATAGAATGGAAAAGGACTCAACCCCTAGAATCCTGTGTGACAAGCGGGAGATCCAGGAAGGTTCCCTTTCGGGCTTCCCGGCACTTTGGGGTCTTTCAGCATTCTGCGTATTTGGACGAGCTCACCGATCCGGGGGGTAAAATGATCTCATGAAGTAGGTCCTACTTGGGAATCCAATTGAGATTTCGAGTTGTCATTGTGGAAGTTCAGATGACCCTTGATTGGTGCTTGGATCGGTTTGGGGATTTGAATTTTTAGTATTGAGGGTAAATGGGGAATCCCTCCTTCACCACACCACCAAGAGGAAAGCTGACTAGGTTTTCCAGTAGTCCCCTTTAACCCTTTTTTGGGGGGAGGGTCCCCCTACTAAAATAGATTGCAGAGAAAAGGGATACCCTTATTCTATCCTCTCTACTGGAGGACCTAGCTGGTGAAGGGCTTCAGGGTCCGTCAAGATGACTCGTTTTCCCTCATCGAGCCCGAAAATTGGCGGTAAGAGGGAAGCGGAGAAGCTGAGAAGTATGCCTAGGTCCCCCCTGTAGTACCCTTTTACCCTTTTTGGGGGGGGGGGGGCGGATTTCCCTACTAAAATAGACACTGGAGGAGCCTTGATTGGTGGTAAGAGGGAAGCTGAGAAGCTGAGAAGTATGCCTAGGTCCCCCAGTAGTGCTCTTTTACCCTTTTTTTTCCGGGGGATCCCAGTCACCAGCCGTTTGTTGGTTTCTTTGCCACGCAGGTAAGTTAAATCACTGCCCTAAGGGTCATGACCCCTCAAATGCAGACCCCCGGAGCCTCTAATGGAGAACCCCGACCCCTCAAGGGCCCTCAACAACAACCCATTTGGAAGGCCCCAAAACCAGTCGGGAACCTTAGGGTGGGACTTCATGAAAATCAGCTCTTGAGCGAAAGCTTGGAGCCGATGACTCCGCTCGTGGCCCGGCGACAGTTTTGGGCAAACTATGCGGTCCCAATTCGACTCAATTTCTGAGAAGTTCCTGGACCTTAAGGGTCCCGACTGTTTTTGGGCCCTCCAAAATGGGTTGTTGTTTTTTGGGCCTGTGGTCGGAATTGGTCGCTTTGGGTTCTCCATGGGTCCGGGGGGTCTGCATTGGAGGGGTGATCCTTAGGGGACTCTAGTCACTTTGTGGGACCAATTTGGTCGCCATGTTTTTACTTCCAACTCAGGAAGTGAGTCGACCGAATCGAAATGTACCGCCAAAAAAGTACCAATCTTCATGCAGATGTGCAAGCTCTGACTGCCTTAAGCAGCCACACGTATGGACTCCAGGCATGACTTCCATTTGCTTAAGAAGATGTTTTATGTTCCCCTTTTGGTTTCAAAGGGAATCTATCACTGCTGTTTTTTTTGAATAAAAATAATAGCAATAAAAAAAAATAAGTATCATTTCAGGGGGCTTAAGCAAATGGAGGATGAGAGCGCTGAGGCTTGTTTTCGTTTTTGTGAACCCGTCCCAGATCCTGGTTCCCAGTAGACCAGTTGCCTCCTAGTCGGTTGTCTGGAGCCCAGTGGTTTGGTGCGTGGGGCCTTTTGGGCAATACCATTTGGGCCAATTTCAGAGGATGTTCCGCTGCACGGTTGATACTTTTTGTAGGTTGGACATTTGGGTCATTGTTGTTTCGATGGTTTTGGAGGACTCTCAATTTTGTTGGAATCTATTTGTGCAAGTCACAAAGCGTCCATGCCCTTGCGACAGGACAGGAAACTTCAGAGGCGCGACATTGATTTCGAAGCGAGTCTCGGGTGACTGACCGGGAAGCCAATTGGGTCTGTGTCAGAAATTGGGGGGACTTGATGTTTTTTCGGCCGGACCGGTTGGTTTCCCCTTAAAAGAGTTGGCACCGTCACAAAAACCACCGCACGCCCAAGGAAAGAATAATTCTCCAATCAGTGTTCCGAGCCGGTGTTCGCCGCCTCTCCGGGAATGGAAGAACTCGGACTGTAGAAACCCTGGAAGGGAGGTGGTTCGTTTCAGCGGAGGCAAACCAAATTGCAGACGGGTCTTTGGAGCATACTGGGGGCCTGAGGGCATCCTGTAACCAACTAGGTTAGCCACGGATTGAGCAACCCGTCTCATAGGGGTGTTGTGGGCTATTCGGATCGCTAGCCTAACAGGAAGTTCAAGGTGTTTCGCCAAGATGGATGCTTGCCAACGTCCTACAGGTTTGCTCGTGTTTGGTCAGCAAAATCTGAGTTTTTGAGAGTACCCTTTGCAGGGTCCCTTATCCGCAAAGCGCTGGGAAGCTAACCATTTTTGTTTAGTAGTTTGGGAGCGCTCAGCGTGGAACGCTTTCCAAGACGGCAAATAAATACGTGTGTCTGCGTGCGTGGGTCAATTGGCACACTTCCAATTTGTTGGCTTTTGGCTTCCTTTTGACACATGGCTTCCTGTTGAGCTGAAACTATTTCCTAGCCCGTAAGAGGGGGCCCCGGCCCCTATTAGCCCCGAATGGTCGCTCTGTTGGGATTGGGGGTCCTCGACTGAGGGACCCTTGACAACCGAAGAAAAACAGCTGTTCCTTGAAAGCGACAACAGGGGCAAGTTGGCGGCAATGCACTGCGAGTAGGTGCCCTTGGGTTAGCGGGGGCCGATATCTCCATGTTGTCAGGCTGCGGAAGCACTTGTTGAAATGATTTCCAACAATTTCCAACAGCCAGAGTTGATTCCGGAGAGCGAGAAGGGGAACTCACGAATCTAGGGGACGACTTTGGCAAAGTTAGCAAGTTGTTGGTCATGTAGGTTAGAACTCACTTATAAGACTCATTGGCCCAGTCATCAGTGGGTTGTAATTCAGGTGGCTAACCACTTCACATGGCCGAACGTCCAAAGAGCCTTCACTTTCCCAAGTCCTCTGCAGGCATTCGGGCGATGGCTCGGATAGCTGGGCATGTTGGGCAGATTAAATCATCGAGATCTCCCCATGTTTCGGGGAATTCGACAGTTGGTTTCGTAGCACATCGAGGATTGCAACCTCTCCCATGAAGCTTGCTGAGCAAGGGACGCCTATTTCAGCTTAGTGGATTCTTTCCGAAGCTGGCGGGGGGACGCCTCATTTGGAGGTGGTTTTCCCCAAACGGTGGGGTTCCCTCATGGAGTAACCCACTGGTTGGACCTTTTCGTGGATAGTTGCGGCTGGCGGTCCGGGGTTTGACGGTCACCCCCTACTCCCAATACCTAGTTTTTGAAGGGTGTGATGTCAACCCATGACTAAGAAAGGAGGTATTGACTATGGAAAACTAGTCTATCTGCAGCAGGCACTGGCGATCGCTGAGAGTCGCACCGCGCAGGATGACTTTGAAGAGTTCTGGTGCCAATTCTGTGGCCGCGAGGACGATTTGATCGAAGCCAAGAGCAGAAGCCCGTAACGGCTGTTTTTTTGTTGTGTTTTGATTTGTTATGTGCTTTGTTGCGTAATGTTCTGTTGTGGCTTGATATATTTATTTTAGTTTGAATTGTTGTGTTTGTGTTGTGCTGTGTTGTTTTGTTTTGATTTGCGCTGTGTTGTGTTGTGTTGCGTTGAAGTGTTGTGTGTTCTTTTGTGTGGATGTGTTTTGCTTTGTTTTGCTTTCTTTGTTTAGTTGTGTGTGTGTGTGTTGTTTCGTTTAGTTTAGATTTGTGTTGTGTTGTTTTGGTGTGTTTTGTGTGTGTTGATTCGGGTTTTGCTGTGTCTTGTTGTTTGCTTGTTTTGTTGTGTTGTTTGTTTTTGTTGTCGTGTTTGCGTTGTGTTGTTTTGTTGTGATTGTGTGTGTGTGTTGATCCGTGTTGGGCTGTGTCGTGTGGGCTTGTTTATTTTGTTTTGTACTGTTTGTTTTTGTTGTGTTTTGTTTGTTTTTGCTGTGGTTGAGCCTGATTTGTTTCACACGTGTGTACTGTTTATTCCAACACCACAATCCCTATGTGTGTGATGTTTAAATGTGCATGGCGATTTAGATTCCAACAGTATGCTGTGACCACTTGACCAATTGACACTGGCTGAATCTTGGCACTCCAAGGCCGATATGCTTGCGTTAAAAAGCACCTGGCATTCAAAAAGCACCAGGCCCAACATATGGGCGTGGGCCAAAATTAAACCAACAGGGGACCGCAGATTTTGGTCCATGTTTCCACTTACCAGGGCAAGCCATTTTGGGTACCTTTTTTTTGACCCACAGCCATATTAAAGAAACCAGCTTTCTGTGAGTCGTCGCCAACGTGTAAACCTTCCGTGCGATGAAAAACAACTGCAAGGACCGTGCCCGCAGGTGACGCAGGGCTCCTTGAAAGATACATTTTGCACCATTTGAAACATGTTGCTTTTTCCCACCGACATACATGGCTTTTTCCGCCAAAATACATGGTTTGTTCCACCAAAATACATGTCTTTTTCCACCAAAATACATGGCGTGTTCCACCAAAATAAAGGGATTTACCTCCATTTGCAAGTTGCAATGTTCAGGTGTATAATGCATCCGGATCCCTGAGGTGTTGGTTCCCAATCATGATTGCTAATCACAGCCAGCCAGCGTGGAATCGGGTTGAAGTCCTTGTTGGGACGTGCTCGCTGCCACGTGGTGGTCGCTTGGCTTGCCGCTGCGTTGAACAGGATTGGGGATGCATCTCCATGTTGATATCCCCAGTTGAGAGTACTCCAAAAGAGGAGGAATCCCCCGGAAAAAAATCTTCCGAAGCCCGAGTCATTTCAGGATCCTTTGCGCACTCGCCACAACAGAGTTGATGTTGGGGTCGGCTGCCGCGCTCCATGGGTCCTTTTCATGGTGAAAACTCAGGCGGTTTGGTCCCCGCTTTCCTTTTGGTTTCTGTAGGATGCGTCATGGGGAAAGGGTTCCCTACAGCTCCCGGTAGGAAAGCTAGAGCAGAAAACAAGGAACTCTGTGACTCCACAAAAACATTGGTCTTCCATTTGCGTTTCCGAGTACGTTTTGTTTTCTCTGGTTTTAAAGGGAGTCTATCCCTGCTGGACATATTGTTCTTCTTTTTCCAGGAGAAGAACACAAACCGGTTTTTTCAGGGGACAAAACGAGGACATGGTGGAGGAACCCCTGGAAGGTGATGTTCAAGACCCCTGGGTCTAGTTGCAAGGGCAAACCAAGTATTATCAGAGGTTGCCGTAGTCTGCTTATCAGCTTCCCGGTTTCCCATTTCCACAAACGCCAGGGGTTCAATTCCCCAAGCCATCAATCCAAACCACCAACCTCACAGGTTTCCTGAACGGCGATGTCGGGGGGTCGCGCATGGAGCCCGCGGGCAGTTTCTTGGCGAAAGCGCTGGGATACCCCTAAAACCGGCTGCGTCCTCCCTCTTCTTGGTTGGTTTTGCTGGAAATCAGCGGGAAACCAAGCACTTGGGTTTCAGGTAAGACGGGAGTCAAAATGAACTCAAGTCCACCAACAGCCAGAAGCAAAAGATCCAGAAAAGCAAAATTGCATTTCCGCGGCAACTGTCCGGGCCGTTTGTTTGGATACCCGGCAAAACAAGCCACTCGTTGGACGGGCAAAACAAAGCAAAAGTGCCAGGACCCAAGTTTCACTCTGCCAGCGCTGGATATCCACTACTGGCGGGAGTGCCCCATGCTCTCTGCCTGCAAGCACTGCGAGCAGGTGAAACCGGCTGTTGTTGTACTGCGGATAGAGCTTGTGAAGGGGAAGCCAGAAGGAAACCACACCTTTTTGGGACGTCTTAGTAATATTTTGAGACAATCCCATTTTGCCTCTCGTGATTCAGGCATCACAGTTTGGACATCAGGCGTCATTATATTATGGGTGTGCCTTGTTTTGAGGTTGCCATGTTCACCTTGGTCAACAGAGAGGATAGTGAAACCCCATATTTTAAACGTAGGGCTCCGATATTTGGGTCTGTCTCAAAAATAAGCCCCCCCCCCCCCGCAAGCAATAACAAGACTAACTCACTTTCTTTCAAAGGAAACTGCGTAGAAGGCCTGGCCAAATAAGAGGCTTCAAGTGGCTGGAGTTTGCTCTGCAAGACATCAAGGACTGAGTTGAACAGATCTTATCGTCATGAAAGGCAGCGTGGGGTGACTGTTGCACTGGTGCCACACCACGCGGGATTTTTTTCTTTGGTACATGTTGCTTGGCTGTTAGGACTTTAACTTTCTGCCAACTAGTGGGTTTTCCACTAAACCACTAAAAGTAAAAAAAACAAAAACAATAGCAGGGGAGCAGATTTCGCAACCGAGTTTTGGGGGGTGACTCTTTGGGGCATGTGTGTTCGCCTGCCACAAAACGCCAAGGCCCAGAACTGGAGTTGAGCAAGCCTATGTCATTTGTACCCCTTTTGTGGGTTGGTTTGAAGGGGAACCAAAAGGAAGACCGCAATTTTGGGGTCCAACCTAAAACAAGAGACACACATTTCTACCCTGCCATAGCCATAGCCAGGGTTCCCCCATTTCTCTTTTTGGAACCTCCCAAAAGTTGCAGTTTCTTCCTGGACCCACCAGGAAGTTGCAGCTTGATTGGAAATCCAGTGACTCCGGATAGTCTCTGGGGTGACCCTGTTGAGCTTGAAAAAAACTCGATCGCCAGGTCATCGAGATCTCCAGACTGCACTGGCACCTCTCGGAGGAACGGTACGACACACACACATACACAAACTGCGCACGTTGTCTCACTCCCCGAGTTCTGAGGGCTGGACCATTGTTAACTTCCCCAGAACCAGCTCCCCTTTTTGCTTTTTTGCTTTTTTGGGGTCCCTTTGTTTTCCACTAGCCAGGCAAACATTTTTTTTCTGGGGTCCTAATTCTTCACTGTTCTTGGCATGTGTTTTAGTTTTTTTAGCGTTTTGGTTCTGTTCATTTTTACCGGGGGTCTGCAAAAAACAGTCAGCTTTTTCGCTACCATACCAAGAGTAGAGATGCATGGTGAGTTATTCATACAAAGTTTGATTGTTGTTGTTTTCGGCCAATTCACACACGAAGTGAGTTGTTGCTTCTTGTTGAAGGGGGGACTGGCTTCCCTCCAAAATCAATTTCCAAAGCACTTCAAACGGCAGCCTTTCTTTTTGGCCCTCGAAACATGGAGGAATCCGAAGTGACTTCAATTCGGGAAAGGGGCGTCGATCCGGAGGTGTCTCAATGAGTAAGCACCTTTTGCTGGTTGTTGCTGGTGTACATTTTGCCATCTGGGCATCCACATATCTCGTCTAGGTACACTAGAAGGATGGTATGTTTCAGAATCATGGACCCCTAGGGCGCTATGGGATAAGCCCTTCGGCTAGCCCCCCTCCCCAGGCCCCCCTTGATTTGTTCATGAGCCTTGCAACATCCTTGCCACTCAAAAGGAATGGGCAGCGATGGCTTTGCAGTCCCGAAAGTTTTCCTATGGAAGAGTTTCAGCAATAATCCCGGTGAACAGGGTTCCCCCAAGTGGGGAAACAGGATTTCCCCATGTGGGCATTCTGAACAGTATAAGCGACAACCCCAACAGGTCGAATCATAGCTTCCCACTCCCTCCTTCAAAGGCTGAACGGCTAGAAAATGAATCCTTTAGGGGGCTGACCATATGCAGTCAGGAACCTACCAACAAACCCAAGTGATTTACAGGGCCCGACTGACTATCAGCTTCTCCAAGTCCAATTCACCAGGCTCCAAACCACCAACTAAGGAGTTGAGAATGACTGAAATCATCGCCATGGTTTGTACCTGGTATGAACCCCTGGTATGAACCCCCATGGGTGAAGTATGGGAAACCAGCCCCCCTTATGGTCCAGAATGGTCTGCGGTTCATGTATGGACCTATACAATCAGCCTTTGACTCCTGTTGGTTTCCTGTCGGTCTGGTGGAGAAGCTGAGGGACGAGCCCAAATTCGTGCAGGTGAGGTGGGGGAAACCAGCCCTGGACCTCCTTCCAACCATGTGGAGATAATTTGCGCACCTTTCACATAGCTAGCAATGTTGACCCCAGAAAATATCCACCCTGGTTTATTAATAAGGGGGCGCTTTTTCCCTCTGGGTTGAGTGGGGAATCAGACCACTTTTGGAGGGGGACACCCCCCCCTATGAAATAAACAGGGGTTTATTAATACAGGGTCAACATTACCAAGCCAAACAGGGAAGAGCTGCAAAGATAGAGCTTGTCCAAACCACAAACCGACGTTTTGTGACTGTCCAGGTGCCCCAGCCTGTCGTGCCCGTTCTCACCCATTTCGTTTTTGGGTTGGGAGGTTTCTCCTGCTATAGACAGAAAAAGGTCTAACCCCTCTACTGGGTGACCTAGATCACGCGTGACTGAATTCCCTTATGTTCCCTTGGGGGTGGGTGGGTGGTGTACTGGAGCTCATGTTGCTTTCACGAACGTGAAACGCCCTTCATGCCTGCATGGTTTCATTCTAAAGTGCAAGAACATGTTCCTGCAAATATACCAAGGCGAATGAAAGCATCAAATGCCTCCCACAATATGCAACATCAGAGTCCTTTTGAGACAGCACACACACACACACAAAGGAGAGCAACATGCTCAGTTCAATTCTCTATCTATGCAGCTTAACTGGGCTCGTCGTGTGGAGGCTACTGTTTGTGTGTGTTGTTTTCAAGCTAAAGGGAAACATGGAGCAATCAACTGATTCTGGAGGTTCCCTTATTTTGGAGACACATCCACATCTTGGCCCACATTTGGGCTACACAGAAAATGATGTGGTCTGTTCCATATTTAGCCTACCCCAAAACAACTTAACCAGTTTTGGAGGATACTCCAGAAATCGTGTAGCAGGTCCCTGTATAGGTTCTGTTTGATTGATCGCTTTTTGAAGTGGTTTAGTATGAGGGGCCAGATGAACACTCATGTTCATTCACGTTCTAGTTGCCCATTGACAACACTGAATCTAGAAGATCATATTCTTTGTTGGGGTTGATGTCCCATTATTTTCACCACTTATGCTCAACCAGCCGTTTCCCCTTGTCTTTGCGGCAACTATCATTTCTTCAAGCTGTTTCCTTTGCAGTTTTCCTTCTTTGCGGTTTTCCGGAACGAAGGCAGGGGTGACCTGACCTCATGCCTGATGAAGATCCCTTGCTCGGGGATTCCTAATTTCCAATTGAGATGTGCGGTCCCCAGTTTGCATTGAGAATCCTGTGTTGCGCCGAAGCCAGATGTGAGGCCAACTGGACATAGATACTGTCCCTTTCGCATTTGTCCGACCAGATCCATGGAAATTGACCCACAACATGGATTACGTATCAAAACAGGGGGGAACCCAAGACTTGTTGTCCCTTTTTGGGGTCAGTAAAAAATATATATGAAAAGAGCACTTTGCAAGAACAAACAGACAACTCAGCCAGATGTTTTGCAACATAAGATGGTTAAAGTGGCTTTAACAGGAAATATAGGGACCCGTGTCTCAAACAACTGGGTTTGTTGGCTTTTGAGGGAGCCTCAAAAAGTTGTTTCCCCTTTGGCTTCCTTGCAAATAGGGTACCTGCACCCTCGCAATTCCCTGAAAGATCCCCACAATTATGGGGTGAATCCCCGTTTCATGGGGTAGGGTACCTTCAAAAAGGCACGCCAATGAGTCAGAATCAGATACCCTCCCATCCACATGGATCCTCACAGGAAGGTGATGGTTTGGACGATTTTCCCTTCGCCACCGTTTATTTGGTGGAGTCCATGTCAGTGGACAGGAGGGTACCGATCGGACTATGAGTATGACTCAACACATGGTTGTTGTTGAGAAACGTTTTACATTTTTGCTTGTTGTGGTTTAGTGGTTGAAATCCAGCAACTGAACTGCTAAAATTTATTTTTGTTGCTCCCCTTCCAACATTTACCAAGAACATGGAAACCCTCAAAAAAGGGCGCACCCAGTTTGGCAAGCACCTTCGGACTTGGACCATGTTGATATTCATCGGACTGTGACTATGACACAATATGGGGTTGTGTTGTTTTAGGGGTCACCCGGAGATTGGTGTTTTTGTTGTTGTTTTTTTAACGCGGGACACGCAGCGGAACACCGTTGCGCCGCTTTGGGAATTGAAGTTCGGAAGTCCGGACGTCGGGTTCCAGGAGTGTGAGGTGAGGGAGGCGGCGATTGAAGCGCGGCGCCTGCAGCCCGATCGGCCGGGAGCCCGAAATTGGATCATGACAGGACCCAGTTGCATGGTGGATTCCGGCCCTTTTCTTTCTTTTGGGAAGGGCTCCCCTTCAAAGTCTAGGTCCCCCAGTAGTGCCCTTTTACCCTTTTTGGGGCGAGGGTGCCCCTACTAAAATAGACTACAGAAAAAAGGGTACCCTTGTTCTAACCTCTACTGGAGGACCTAGAAGTCAACCAACACAAACAAAACAAAAAACACGGATGCCAATTCCTTTTTCACCATGGCCTCTGGGCATCTGAGAGGATATGAGTGACTGCCTGAACCTCCCCAGAATTTGGAGGCAATAAACCCATGTTTAGTTGGAATTCTGAGGTTCCAGGCACTTACCAGGGGCTAACGAAGGACCATGAAGGATCACACCCCCCCTCCTCAGAAGTGTTTGTCCTCATTTGGCATGAAGCTTATTGGGTGATTCGTGAATCAAGAGTTCGCAGCAACGGGCATGGTGCACAACCTGCAGTTGAAGCCCAATTCATTATGCATGGACGCAATGAAGATGTCCTCTGGAAAACTGAATCAGTTGAACTCGCACAAGAATGCAACAAAGGTGGTGTCTGCCCTCGTCACCGACATCATGTCAGCCTTCAAAGAAATCGAGAGTGGCATTGACATGGACCATTCTGGCATGAGGATCCAGAAGAATCGGTGACGTTTCCGGCATTTTTACAACGATTTGACCCACAGTGACCTTTCTGCGACTGTCTGAGGAAGAAGTCGGAACTCCATCATCGGCTTTCCCAATACTTCCAGACAAATTTCAAATCCACGCAAAGCCATCGATGTAAAACCAAGATGCAAACCCATCGCGCACCGGTTTTGGGGGGGAATTCCCGAGGCCAAAGAACAAAGCCGCGCCTTCGGTCTCCTCCGCAAATCTTACGAGCTGAAACCGGCGGAAGTGAATGTTCCGCTTCAAACCCACAGAAGGGCACCTGGCGCCATGAAATTTTATGGAGAACTGCCTCCAAAGTGGCAAAGTAGTTGGTTTTGATTTGAATCCCCACCGAAATGTCCACCAAAGGCTTGAGTCTGGGAGGGTCGGTCCCAGTATTAACAACTAGTTCGAAGGTTCCCCTATTAAGAATTCACCGCCACCTGCTGACATCACATACTTTGTTTAAAGGTCAAATGGCTGTGGGTGAAAAATAGGTTCCCAAAATGGCACCCTGGTAAATGGAAACAGTGACTAAAAACTGTGGTCCAATTCCTGGTGGTTTAGTTTTGACCCATACCCAAATGGACACCTTGAAAGGCGGTGAGTTTTAATAGGGGACTCTTCAAAACAATAGTGAATAATGGACACCTGTGACATATTTTTGCAAAGGTGAAATCTGGGTTTCGGCCCGGCCTCAGGTGCCCGTTGTGCCAGGGCCGCGTGGCTCGGGGTATGCCGGAGGAGAGGGACTGGCCGGAGCCCCGGAAAGGGCCCAGAGCATGCGGCTGGCACGGCGTGTCAAGGGATTTGGAGCCCACAACTTGTGGGGTCTCCTGCAAACATTTTTTGTCATGTTTGAAGCTAGGCGAAATCTGGAATTTCGTACAGAAAAAAAGGGCACAGAATTGGAAAACAAACAACACCATACAAACATTATGTGTACAGTTGGGTTAAAACAACACATTGAAAAACATACAACTGTACTTTGGGGTCTGGTTGCCCTAGTGGAAAACAGTTGGCCGGTTACTTTTTCGGGCCACGGTGAGCCTTTGCTCCTTGAAGCTGTGAGCGGCGATGACCTGCCATCAAAGCCTTTCAGGTATGCGTGGCTCGTCTTTTTGGAGTTGGCCCCCGATTTCTTTTTGGGTGGCTCTCTGCAAAAAAGCCAAAACACAGGCATCGTGTTCTGTTGTTTGTTTGTTTGTTTGTTTGTTTTTTTTTTTTGGGGGGGGGGGGTCTCGAAAAATCACACACCCATATCCTCCCAACATGAGAACTGGAGGCTCCTGGAGGACCTCTTGCCTTCTCACGCCTTATGAGATCCACGTGAGTAGCAGGTTGCCAAGTTGAGGCATCTTTTTGTGTCCTTACCCAGTGCTTCCAGTTAGACATCTTGGTAGAACCTACAGGAAGTTCTACAGGAATACTTGTTTTTGGTTGGTGGTTGGCCAATTTCCTGTACAATTGCCTGTACTGGTAGCTAGTTTCTGTGACAGGGAACAACCATCATGTATAGCCTAGACGTGAGAAGCCTTGGTTAGTTTGGCGACTGGAAGCAGTGGATCGATGCCGTCCCTTTTCAATCAGCACCATCGTGACTAATCGACTCAGGAAAACAAAAAAAAACATAAATCTTTAATGAAAGGCTTGAATCAGTCCGAATGGCCGTGGAGAGTCAAATGTAATAGGGGCCATCAGCTTCGGGGTTCTTGTTGTTTTATAGACCCAAGAGAACAGAACCCGCTTGTCAGGTTCGGTTTAAAGTTCTGGCAACGCGGTTCAACGGGAAGAAAGAAACCGGGTTCTGATCGCTGGCACAAGGAACCCATTGCTTGGAACCCATTGCACGAGTGTCACGACTCACCCAAATTGCAAGAAGGCGCCGTGAAAAGGAAAGCCCCCGCTTGAAGTTGAGGCACCTTTAACTTTTCGAGTTACTGGTTTGGCGGGAGACCTATACAATGGACAACCACCCTTTGGTGCATTTTGCTTGGCTGTTAGGACTTCAACTTTTTGCCAACTCATGGGTTTTCCACTAAACCACTAAAAGTTAAACACTTTCAGCAGGGGAGCAGATTTCGCAACCGAGCACCTTTGAAGGGAGATGTGATTCTTCTCCAAATTTGGAGACCCCACGCTTTATGATGTGAGCCTCAGTTGCCCAAAGCGAATCGACCTTTTCACCTTTTGGTTTTCCAATTTTGGTCCATATTCAGTCATGGCGAAAGCTGATCACCTTTCCAGGTCCTTGGGGTTGATGTGAGCGGATCCCCGCGGATTTTTTGGGTCCCCAGAGATGGATCCGCCCATGCCGCCCATCCGCGGTTTAGGCAAGAGCACCTGCTGGTGATGGGCTGCCCGTCCAACCCACGGGGACGGTCCCCGAGATGACGCGTGCCCGGCGTGCGCGGTGGAAAAGCAGTGGCTTGTTCAAGCTTACCTCTTAAAAACACAACTTTTCAACTTTTTGGGTAACATGGGCTATATGTCTGTAAAAGATTAACTTTCCCAGGGCTTGGAGTGTGAAGGGGTAAGCAAGGATAACTTTTCGTGCAGAAAAAGTGTGATATTTCACCCAGCAATTCCATCTCCCTATAAGTATAGTAGGTAACAAAGGGAACCACCCTTTCAAAACTAGAAGGACAGTGTTGGGTTACCTGCTATACGAGTAAACTGGGATCCACTTGCCAGGCTGACTAAATATGAAACAGAATCTGAACCTCTTGTTTGTCACGTAAACAGGCAACAATGATCAATATCATTATTAGTCTTGGTGACTCCCAGCCATCCGGTTCCTTAGCTTTTTAGGATTTCCATTTAACCAACTAACAGTTAGTCACTTTTAGGGGATCTGAGGGCAGCCCAATGAGAGAACAAGGATCCCAGTGACCCATGACCAAACAACTCGCAGTCTGAGAGTGATCCTGGGCTTATGCAGATAGGTTCCCCCAAAAGGGGCTTCCATGAGCTTCCTTTGCGAAAGGTTGTGCATTTTCAGAGTGGCAAAGCAGGCGGCAACGTCCAACTTTGCGCATTTTTTGCCTTGGAACACATTCTTGGGAAGCGTCTGGTTGGCAGCATGTCCTGGTTGCTTTCTGGCCTTCCAATGTCGCGTTGCTTCCTTTTTTAGCCGCCATTTGATTGCCCAGGCAGTTCCCGGGGTGCGGAGATTTGTTTGTTTTCCGGATTCCGAACCGCACGTTCTCATGAGGAGATATACAAAGCACCTACAAGTTTTGCCAAATGGAAGCAGAGATAAAGAGACCTGCAGGCAAGTTTTGACCTGCGAGTCCTTTCTTAGGGAGGATCCCGATTTTCTTAGTTCAGGTTGTTTTGGAATTGTAAAACTTGCAGAGTACAAAGAGGGGCCTAACCATTCTGAATGGGGCTGTAGGCGCCAAACGAAGATTTAAACAGTTCCTTTGAAGGCCTTTTGAGTCACTGCGGGCTGATTTGCCGACATTGATTTGTGCCATGAGCCAACTGCTCGGAGCCAGCGCAGTACGGGCCACAAAAAAAGCGCGAGGTTGAAGCTCAGCAAAGGGCGTGCGCCACGTGTCAAAAGACCGATTTGTTCCTGGTCATTGTTGCATCCGGATGCTCTGTTGGGTGCTTATCCAATTTCGGGGGCAACCATCGGGACGCCCCTTGCTGAAGCAAAGCCAAACTCAAATGGTCGCATGAGCCAAGTTCCATGTAACTCCATCCCCGACATGTAAATTTATCTCAAAACAGGGACCCCCCAAAATGGCCAGGTTTTCCATTGTCCCCTTCAAAGTCCAAAAAGGAGCAAACCATATTAAAAACACACCATATTGAAGTAGTTTAGGGCAGTTACAACACTTGAAGCAGATGTTGTGCCACATCGGATCAGACCTGCCACTGGACCAATGAAGACATGTCAGGGTCTGGGGCAGGATGCGCGTTCACGGTCAGTATTCTCGGTCGAACGAAGGCGCAAGGGCAGTTTCCTCTTAAAGGAATCCCATGTCAAGTGCAATGTTGCTGAGCAAATCATGACAACCTCACCTGCGGGCAAAACGAGCCCAATCATGAAGGACCCCCTCGGGGGATTCTATTTTTTCGATCCAATTGTGCATGGTAGCTTGACAGGATGGGTGTTGCTTCAATCAGGGCACCCAACTATTTTTTGTGAATTCCCTTTGAGCCCCCCTCAAAACCAGCCAACAGGCTGCTTCTTTTCCACTTCTTTTGAGAAACCGCCAGAAGGGGGCAATCAACTTGAGAGATTGCCACAGAGATCGAGCATGGCATCACGTGGCCTCTGCGCTTTGCTTCTCCTTGCTGTGCACGAATTTCGGAACAAAAGTCGGTGCTGCGGGCCTGCGCCACGGCACTTTGAAACTTTGCTTCGCAGAGTCCTTGTGGTTGGCTCACAGTAGAAAAAAAAAGGTAGCCACCACATACAAAGGGCATTGTTTCGGGATATATCATGTCCAGACAGACATGCGCCCCCAAGAACACATGCAATTCCAGTGGTTGGTTTCAGGGTCTTTTTCAAAACCCCACGAGACAAACTCAGTTGTTCAGTGGCACCCTTTTCCTCCATTTTTTTGGTGCCTGCCCCACTAAAAATGGTCTTCCCCAAAAAGGGTTCCCTTTTTTCCAGGGTCACTGAACAACTGAGAAAAAATCCAGTGGTTGGTTTCAGGGTCTCATTTTTAAAACCCCACGAGACTTTTACAAAAAAACACTTCAGCATCCCATGTTGCTTTGGTCAACATGTATCGATGGACCCCCTGGCCATTTTGGCACTGAAGTGGCAAGTTTCTCTTGATTCAGCAAAACCTGGCGGTCAAACATGCCATTGACCAGGGGTTCATGTTATAGATATGCTGACTTTGTACATATATATATATATATATATTCAGCCTTGGGTCAAAGCCAATGGGATCCCATGTTGGGATAGGTGCACCACCCATTTTAGAACCTATTTTAGTGGGGATGGGGATGTTCACTGGGGCTTCATGTAGTGGACCCCATCTGCCAATGTAGTGGTTCCCTCAGTTACCAACACTTTAGCTAAAGCAAATCACGGGTCTAGCCTCTTTGAGACAAAACCTAGGCTAATTGGTTGGACCCTTAGCCTTTCACGCTTTGGGAACTTGTGTGTTTCCGCACCAAGCAAAAGGTAAACCTTGGCGCGTTTCCACACCATACATTTTGCGCATCAGTTTCTTTAAACCTTTTGTGGCGCAGGCTCGGTCGACAGTGTGGGGGGTTTTCTCATCCAAACGCAAAACGCGGCGGAGCGATTCGCAGGGCGGGGACGTCGGCATCGCATTGAATGCGGGGAGAGATACAGTATGTTTATGTTTTAACGAGCTTACCTGGGGGGGGTATCATGGTTGTTGTTGCGAGACATTCGATATTTTTGCATATTGTGGTTTAGTGGCTGAAATCCAACCACTTAGCTGCTAAAATTTACATTGTTGCTCCCCTTACGTCAACCAAGATAAAAGGAGCTCGCAATGATAAAGGTTTCCTGCTTGGATCACTCAATGGCCAGTGCAGGTCTTGGCCAAATGAATCGATCTTTTGGCCTTTTCGTTCCCCTTTTTGGTCCATATTTAATCATGGCCCAAGATTCCCTTTGTTTCCTGGGTCCTTTGGGCAACTGAGTGGAGAACCCCCCGATAAAACCGATAATTGTTGGGAAAACTATGTCTTTCTCAGACTCTTTTGTGGGAAATGAACTCAGGAAATAAGTTTCTGTCAGACGACTTCTCTTTCACCCGAATCGACCACGGCAGGAGGACAGAACGACCCTCTGCAGTCTGCATTTTGAATGTCAAGCTGGATCCTTTTAGGGGGTCTCTTGTTTGGATGTTTAGGGGGTCTCCCGAGTTCCTGAACTTTAGTCACTTTTTGTGAAGACCATTTTGGTGGTCAACAAACAGTTTGGACTTTGTTTTGCGAATCCACTCAGGAAGTGACGCATACTCCGAGAAACCCTGGAATGATTCGATTCTCCTGTAAATACCAGCAATCAATGGTTTCCCATGGCTTCAAAGGGGTGCGAACGGATGTCGACCATCCACAGTAGGAGTCCCCCCAAACAATTCACCTCCAGCAATCTGCCCTAGCTGAGAGTGCGCTCCGCGCGCACGGAAACGATCCTGGATATCTTCAAAAAGGGGTCCTCCAACAACAAAGCTTTGTAAATCGAAGCTGATTTTTGGAGGGAAACAAAAAGAAGAAAACTCAATTCACATTGTTTCCTGGGGATCACCTAAATGTCCGTCACCTCCTTTATTTGTTTTTGTTTTTTTAATTCGCCCACAAGTATCCATTACACGCGGTAGGCTGCGTGAGGTGGGAAGAGGTGAAACGGGAGGTAAACCAAGCAGGTGGGCGTAAAGCAAACGGCCGTGACACATATATCAGGATCCCTATCTGGTGGTTTGGATTCGGATAAGAGTTTGCTTGGTTCTTGTGGGTCAATGGGAGACTGTCCTTAGCTACAAAGCCAATCCAAACCAATAGTCAGAAAAAAGACTGAACATAATACAATCCAGAATTAAAACCCGGGTAAGTGAAGGTTAGTAACGGACCGATCGGGCTTGATTGTGAGTCATGCTGTGGACGAAATCCTACACCATCTAAGTAACCCTGGAATGATTCGATGCTCCTGTAAACCAACAAACAATGGTTTCTCATGGTTTCAAAGTGGTGCAGCAGTATGACCTCACACAGGCGGTGATACCCATGGGTTTTACCAACATGTGCCAGGCCTGCGCGGTGGATGCGACGGAGGGTACGTGGCGCCTCGAAAGCAAAAGCGAACAGACCGTTTTGTCTCCAGTTGCTTAAGATTAGTTTTTGCTTTCCCTTGTTGCTTCTAGGGGCCTTGACCAAGTGGAAGTTTGAGTGCTCCTGTTCCTTCGGGGGGGTGGTTGGTCAAGCGAAGCCAACAAGAGGACACCCACCATGGTTGGGGACTATTTTGAAAAAGCTCAGCCAAGCCTCCCTATATTTGTTTGTTGGTTTGAACGTCACCCAGGCCAATTTGAAGTGAGGTTCCTTTGGTCGGGGTGATGTTTTTAGGTTGGAAGTATAGGGACTGTACTTGTTTGTTTCCATAAGCTTCCTTTGGAAACCAACACAAGTCAGGGTACCCTTTTTTCCCGGAGGTCTGGTTGGTTTGGCCTTGGTTTCCAACATGGTACTTCAGTTGCTCAGAACCCAGGGTGTGTAAAATCTCTTCATTACGATTATTAGACCCTAAACCCGAAACCCTAAACCCTAAACCCCAACCTCCCCTAAACCAGGGTCGTTACTTAGACTGAAGTTTTAAACAGTGTCACTAAGGCTAAAGGCTTCCGTCATGGCTTCAAAAGGCTTCCGTCATGCCATCACAAAGTACAGGC